TCAGAATTAAATTCCGATAATTTATATAAATCAATTTTTATATAAACTGAACCTCAAACTGAACTACAAATCACAACTGAACAAATATTACATGACCATTATCAGAAGGCAGAATAGGTAACGTATGCATTCCACGACAACACTTAGCAGATTTTGTGTTCGTTTAGTTAAACTGTATGTGCACTATTAATTTACTATGACAGCCCTCAAATACTATTAAGCAAGTGGGTTGGCAACACTGCAACAGTTTTTCTGTCTCAGGCTTAGAAATCAGAGTTAGCAGGACCAATTTAAAGTATATGCTGCATTATAAATGTGAGGAAGGAATAGTCTTGCATCCTGCTTCACACATGGGAATAAAGAGTAATTATTAAAGTGTGAGTAAAAACTGGGATAAAACATGAACTCTGACTTCTTCAGCAATTTCTTATTCTCTGTGATCAATATTTTGCCAAAATATTAGAAACTGTTAATCTGTGGTTACATTTCAGCCATTGTCAGATGCATTGTCAGCTCTTCAGGAAAAATTCAAGGTTTCCAGGGTATTGAGAAAAGTTTATGAAAATAATATAGGAAGAAATTATGAGTTCTCAGAAGTGAGTTCATAAACTAAATTTATTATTAAATATGATTTGGAAGTATATAGAAACTGTGAAAAATGACAGTATTGTAGCCACCCCCCCCAAACAAACATTATAATAATAAAAAGTATCATTGAAATTGAAATGAAACTGAGTAGTAAGCAAAAAGGAGAGATATCTACTAAATCTTTCCTATTATGTGAAATAAAAATGTGGAAAGAGTTAGTTCTCAAAGGAATTTTAATTTTTTCTCAGTTGCAGTAATCTCACGTCACTCTAGTAATTTTTTTTAATGTGTTGTCCAAAATTTGCACCTCTTGCTGGTTAAGCTGAATAATTAGGTATGAAATTAGGAGTCTAAATAAAGTCGCCAGATTTTCAAATGTGTTTGCAGCTGCAATTCCTGCTTATTTGCATGACATTTGCGCATGGTAATTGTTTAATGATAAACAAGCGATTTATATTTAACTACCTGAGTAACGGGTTTAGGAGCCGAACTTTAGCTGTGTGCAAGCGTGCAAGTATTTGTATTATTTTTGTTATGAGTATTATCTTGATAAGACATGCATTCAAACAGAAAGATTTGACCACACATCTGTGCTGCAAAATCAAGGTAAATCGATTTGTGGTCCTCCTACATTTCTTCCTTTCCCACCAGAGGACCGGCCAATGGGCAAGCCACCATCTGCTGAAATTAGCCTTCTGTGCTCCAGTTCATCTCTTAACAAACATTTCACACATCTTCTAGGAGTTTTAATAAGGATTAGTTCATTAATACAGGAACTGTACTTTGTGCAAAAAGACAATGCTATAAAAATATGACTTCTCTTACTGCTTTTGTTTCAATGTATCACAATCAGTTCCTGAATGGAAGAACACAAAATATTAAACATGCAGTATATGACTTGCGTCCACAGGGTAGTTTGGCTATTAGTTTAAAAAAAAAACAACTGTACAAATGCAAATTTGTCAATATCTGTGCAGTGAACAAATGTTGTTCACTTACAGTGTATGCTTTGGGTATTTAAATGTTTTTTTCCAACCAAGCACACATTTCCATGACATGTTCCTTTTAGGAGAAAAAAACTCAGCTTTTATTTCTGGACAGAGATTATGCAGAGATGCTTAGAAGGTTTTTTCAACATTTGCTTCAGATTTTTCTTATGAAGTTATTGTCTTTAATACAGGGTTATCACAGTTATTAGAATAGGCTGCACAAATATTAGACTATATAAGCAAAAGATGAGTGATAAAAGTATGGTATGGTTGAAATGCTGATACAATGTTACCATGTTAAGCAATCCAGATAATATCCAGAATATGCTTGTGCATTTTTAATAATACTGACCCTGAATGCTAAGCTCCACAGGGGCTATTTCTGGAGTGAAATGTTTCAGAAATGATGGAAGGTTGCAGTGTCATACAGACTGTTGCAGTCATTTTCTTTGCTGGATTTGATTTCACATATAATTTTCAATGTTATTGTTCTTGCAGTATGTGACCATTTCCGCAAAGGCACGCTACTAATGAAGAGGCTTTGAAGAACAGTAGTTACACAGTCATACCACTGTGACAAGACAGAATAGTCCTTGCAGAGCCCAAACCCAACAGCAGACCTCTTTGGTTCAGCGAGGCCCTTTAGTTCCAGCTCACTGCTCCAGCTGTTTGGCTTGAATTTTAGTCTCCCTTTGTAATATCTCTTTCTGTGTGTTGGTTCTACTGGCTCATTTGGGATGCCTTACTGAGCCATCACGCAGTCTCATGGGGTAGGCAGGGAGCAATACACACGTAAAAGCTAGGCAAGATCTCAGAAATGCTGAAATAAATACCTTCGCAAATCTATCCACTGCCTTTTTTTCTCTTCTTTTTTTTCAGTGCACATTGCCCAATTATATGATTTTAAAATTTGAAATGCGAATGTACCAGCACAAAATGCTCTAAAATCTTGGAAATTCTGTGTCAAAGTAGGAGGGTTGCAGACCATGTCTGTAATGTGAATTGATGCCCCAAAATGGGCTCCATCCTAGTGAAAGAGCCGTATATTTTTTATGCAGCTATGATCACAGGATACATGCACAATCTGTCATGGTGCCTGAGCCCATAGTTGCAGAGGCAGGATAAAGATTCAGGAGCCTTGGGTATATGCAAGTGCTGGTTTTTGGACTCTGGAGAGTTTTGGAGAACCCCGTCTTCCCCTGTGTATCACATCCACCTAGGTGCATGTTTTCAGAAAAGTTCTCTTTCTAAATACAGAAATGAAGATGTTTGTGCTCAGTTTGGCTCTGACTGTCATATTTGTGACCCATTTTTTAAAAAATACTCAGTATCCAATACAGTGAATTATTCTGAAAATCTAGTCTCTTACAGTAAAGCCTAATGGGAAGCTTGCGGAGGTATGAAAACAGCATGAGTGGGACTTTGATTTTTGTCCAGCCATAGTGTAAATTTGCGATAAATTTCTTTTCTGGAGCAATAGAAAATTCGAGGGAAAGATGTGATCTCTGTGTAAAATATGTATTGTTTCTGTCTGATAATCTGCACTTTTTCGGACAAATATTCTAGGGGAAATCCTGCTTTCTCTGACAAAACTTCTGCAACTTTTCATGTGATCAGGGATTCATCTGCACTTTGCAGTTGTAGTATAATAACCACATGGATAAAGTGTAACCTGAATGAGTGTTAGTGTTCCAAAGCAGTAGTAATCCTGCTATTTTTTCCAGTTCTTTAAAATAAAATTATTTCACTCAGTTCATATCATGTGATTGAAACTGTAGCTATTGAAATTGCTGTAACATAAATACATTTCTTAACAAGAGGAATGTGTAATGGTGACACTTTTCTGTTTATTTGCATTTACAGTATCTCCTAAATATCAGTGTCATCGCCTCAATTTTGACAGGAGCTAGATCGTGTTTGGATAAGACATGACATTTTGAATAATGTTACAAGCATCTGTTTCCAATGTGTGTCAAACTGGGATTTGGAATATATTATCTTAAAATGCCCTAGATTGAAAAAATGTTTTGCACATAAGGTTAATGTCTGAGCTATGTTTCTACTATGCAGGTTTTGCAGTTTGGGACTCAAAACATACACCATCATTTTCAAACAAAACCAAACTCCCACTAACAGAAAATGATGTTGATAAACACTGTAACACACTCTCCATATTTGCACTTGCAGTCATTTACAGTGTGGGTACTTAATTTCTTCTTTTAGTTTAGACATGTGAAAGTTAGGATACAAACGTTCTCTCTTCTTTCATATGTGAATTCCTTTATTTACAAAAAGCTAAATGTCATGTGCCAATATGCCTGTATACTTCTGGCAATCTAATGTTTTCAGCACTAGCCTCTGATTTCTATGTCTATCTGTAAAATTAAATAATATTTTCTACTTAAAATTCCATGAAACACCAACTGGCCATTTTTCATCTTCTAAATGGAACTCCTGCATAGTGATAATTATGCATGTGAAAATGTCACATATTTATCTTGAGTTGACTGAATTGTGTAATAAGTATTTGTAGTTAGGAAGTGCTTTAAAACCAATATAGCAAAAAAGTGCTAAATAAGTGATTTTCTCCATACTATTTGGCAGCTGACTGCTGCTGTTCATGCTAATTCTGTCCAACAAATTTGCCCTGAAACCTGAAAATGTCTGTGTTGTTTTGAAGAGGATATATGTGATTCGCTGTAAGACACTTTTCAGATGCAAACTTTTTTTGTCTAAGAATGGAAGAATATATTGAAATCTAAATGGTTATATAAGTTTGATATAAACTTAGCTACTACAGATGTAGTAGCCACTGGATTGTCAGGATTTTAGGAAAACTGCTAATGATTAAGAGCGATGAACTACCTTTTTGTCATTTTGCTTGGTGAACTGGAATGTGCAAATTGGATTAATAGTATAGAAATAGAAGTCCAAAAATATGTAAAATTACTTATATTGTTTCCTCAGATTTTTGTTCTTTTAAGAAGGTAAGAAATGTGAGGGTGAATCTTTTCTGAACAAGTCATTGAATTTGTATTTCCCACAACTTTGTGAGTATTTAGACACCGGGTTCACAGCCATGTAGTGGTCTCACTACTTTTACCAGGCTTTTTTACTTTGTGACACTTGCTTCAATTGAAAGGAGTTGTAGGCTTCAAGAAAATACTTTAGTTGGTGACTTCTTATCCAAAATATGCCTTTTGCAGCAGCTTATGTAACACTGGTGTGCAGCCAAGAGTCAGGTGTGTGAGCACAGCTCTCTGCCCAAATTAATGTGCCCGAATTAATGGTCCTTGCTGAGAAATCTCAGCTTTTTTAGAACTTCAGGATGATACTTCCTTTCCTTTAACTTGCCCAATGAGAATTAAATGGTTTGCATTTCTGATTTGCATCATGTACATCACCTGTCATTTTTGCCCATAGATTTTCCACATGACGTACGATCTGGCCAGTGCTGTGGTGAGAATCTTTAATCTAATCGGAATGATGCTGCTGCTGTGCCACTGGGATGGTTGTCTGCAGTTTTTAGTACCATTACTCCAGGATTTCCCACCAGATTGCTGGGTGTCCCTAAACGGTATGGTTGTAAGTATTGTTCATTTTTCATTGTGCTTTCTAAATATTATTTTTTTAAACAGTTAGCTTCAGACTTAGTTGTAAAAACACATACCTAGTAATACAGTGCCCTGCAATTTACTCAAGGTTACTTTTGGGTTTTGTTGACTGACTTGTTAATGAACTAAAGTTTGTTTTGTAGCCCTCACTACCAATAAAATGATATTGATTCATTGTCACTCAATGAGCCAGAAAATGCTTTCAGTTTTAAGGTAATTCTAATTTATTAATGCTCATTCCCTCAAAAAAGCCGCCAAAAGAAATTTGGAAACACTCAGTTACCCGTGCTTTCAATTTAGGCTCTAGTTTCAGTATGCTCCTGAAGATACATTATTGCTGTTTGTTTCATCTAATGTTGTCCTCAGTTTGTTTTGTAAATAACTTCTGGGTCATCTCATGATCCCTTTACCAAGTTGTTCCCAACTTAACAGTCAATGTGAGTTTTTCTAAGTAAAAAAAGAGAAATAGATTTACTTCTATGATACTTTTGTGTCTTTGTGTTCAAGGATGGCATGTGGCTGTTCCTTCTTTATAAGGAAGGGTAATGATGTTCTGCTTGCTTAGCATGTGCCTTGAAGATCAATGGCTGTGAAAAATTAAGTAGTTTTTATCAAGTCAGATAACGAGGTAATAGACAGAACATTTTCTTAGAAAATACACTGAAAAAGTTGTTGAAATGTGCCTATACCAAAAAACCCCAAGAAACTCTCTCATTGGCCACTTACAATTTTAGAATCAATAAAACAGCACCTTTGCTGTAGATGAGCATCTTGCTCAGTCCCACATATTTCTGTTGTAGAAACATAACAGTATTTGTTCCTTTAGGAATGTGATGTTGCGCATTACAGTGGGAGCTGGTTGACTAAGATTGTCAGTCATACAGACAAGTATTTGCAGTCATCAAGCAGCATCTTTAATGATAAGCAACATGTTTGCTGACACCTCATTGTGCAGCTTTCCTAAAAAAATAGTGACTATCTTGAAAAATGGGATTGCTACAATAAAAGTAGGTCACCAGGATGCTGACTGGCATGTCTTTACATTCCGCTGCATTCTGGGTTTTGCTTTGTAATATCTTCCATTCACGTTTACAAAGGGTACATTTTCTACCAGCTTGTTAAAGATCTGGATGAAAACCATGCTAGTGAGTGAAAGGAAGCCTTGGATTACACTTAATTGAAGTATTTAACTTTTAAAGAACATTGAGCTATTAAATTCTCTCCCATAAGAAGAGCTACATTTAATCTAAGAAGGCTGTGCACGTTGTGCACATGCTCAGGGAGACCCTTCTTTCTCCCTGCCCACACTCAGGTTTTTTTTATGGAAACAATACTCTCTCCTTACGGGCCACATACTCTTGGAAAGATCCTTTTTGAAAGTTGCACTTTTTTTTTTCTTTTCTTTTTGGTTTTTTTTTTGTCTGGCAACTGAATCTGTCACTGTTGAATAGACATTGTGGGGAGATCTGAAAATTGAGCAAGATTATGTTCAAGCATAGGTAGTCTTTTCGTCCTATGGCAAGAGAAAGAGTTGTGGACTGCCAGCCTGGAATCAAGTACATATCTAAGGCCACTGGTGGGGGAAACAACCAGACCTTTCTTCTGACCTTGTCATGATGTTACGAGACATTTCCTGATTGCTTTCCAGGCTCTGGAAGTGAATTCTTTAGCACTGAATACAGACAGAGAAGCCATCATGAAGTATCAGTCCTCTGAAATTACAGAGGGAATAGACGGATGATGATGATGATGATAATGGTGATGATGGTTACATGCTTTGCTGGTGTATTCAGAACCTAATCAACTGCTGACTTTGGAATTTGGAAAGGCTTCATGTTCCTCGTACTGCAAGAGCTTTAGGAATAGGGGTACCTTACTCGCCCAGTATACTGTAGCATAGAACAATTTAATCTGCTCTGAATTTTAAAACATTTGTTACTGCAATGACTGCACCTGATACTGGGGTTTGGACTCAAATGCTGTTGAGACAGATATCTGACTAGATAAGAATATTAAGGCCTTTGTCTGTGAACTGGTAGTGATGGCCATGGCGAAAGGCCAATGTTGTCAGGAAGAGGAGGTCTTTCCCAGCACCAGCTAATGCACCTTTCTGTCAAAGTATTCCCTTCTGGCCAGATTTTAGTCAGAGATTTTAGTAGATTAGTAGGTAAAGATAACTCCTTGCACGTGCACACTTCTGGAGTTTTGTTCAAATTTCTGAGTCAAATAATTCTGAAATACAACTGCTCTAAGAAAGGCAAAATTGGCCCTCTTTGAATTTCAATCTTTTTTAGAGTAGGGGAGTGTTTGTGTGAGCATTTTCTGGGTTTCAACTGTGGCTCCAAGGTACAATCTTTAAAATGACATTGTTACAAGGGCTAACCTCAGGCTAATACATCAATTTTGCTTTGAAGTAAAATTTTAACACTTACACGTAGTGATCATTTGCTTGAAGACTTATTCAAGCCAATGTGTGCTCAGCCAGAAGAAGTTAGTTTTCCAATATGCAAGTCCATTGCAAGCCAGAGCAATTGCTGATAACCTGATGCTAAAGGAAGTAAGGATGCCATAAGGATGACATGCTGTCTCCTCAATAGGCACAGCCTAGCATACTCTTCCAGCACATAGTTCCCTTCTGTCTTGTACATTAGTTGCTTTAGGCTGCAGAGTGCAAGAACAGCTTCTAAAAGCCTTCTCCTGAAAGGTATTTCTTCTGTATGAGCTGATACGTGAAAGTATTCAAGTTCCACAGGCATGCTCATAGTTTTACTTCATACTGTTAAGAAACATAACATAGGTTAAATTTAATGTCACGAATGAATGAAACCAAGCTGCATTTTGCTTATTGCCTCTCTGAACAATGCAGCTGAATGCAATTAAAGCAAAACAAATAGGTTGGATTTTTTTCTTTGAAAGGATGATAAAAATGTCATAGTGCATCATGAAGTAGACTATGAAATGAAATGGAAAGCCTTCGCTGTAAAAGGGAATAAGATCACTACTGGTTTTAACTGCACAAACCTCCAGCCTAAGTGGTTCAACAAAAATGTGCAGATCATATTGGGATATTATCTTCAATAATAATAATAATAATAATAATAATGATGATGATAATGAACCCATATTGTATCTGTACTCTCAAATTGGCCTTCTTGGGTAGTTCCTAACATTGGCCTTCATGTTGCAATGAAATGAAAGCCAGAGCTGGTATCTTCCTTTAATTTTTCTAAATGTGATCCCACTTGCCCACTTCTGTATCTTTACTGCCATTTGATTCCACTGACTTTATTAATGCTGAGTTACTATTGACAAGCAGGATATTGTGCTTTTCCAGAATATCAATGCACTTCTCTTTAAAAATAAGAAAACCAGTAAATACAACATAAAAGTAAACAGCAGCTCTTTTTTTCTGCTCACTTTAAGTCCTGTTCCAACCAATCCATTACAGACAAAATAACAGTCAATTACTTCTGTGAGGGTATATGGCTCTCTGATGCATTTCCTATTTTTTTTTTAACACTGGGATTTTAAGTTTCATTCCTAAAAAAGGTCTTTTCTGAAGAAGTTTTACAGACTTTCCTAATGATGCTGCTGCTTGATTTCTCCTTGGCTCAGAAAGCCTATTATCTGCAGCTCCTTGTGTGATTTATCCTCAGCTTTCTGATCTGCGTTGCTTCAGACTAGTATAGTTCCATGATGACTCATAGACCAAACATCTTCGTCAAACCTAGAGTTTGAGCCAATAGTTCTTTAGAAAATTAGGAGTAAAACTTGCAGCTGAAACCAGGGGAGGCACAAGAACAGAAAAGCACAGTGGTCCTCTTCTATAGTCAGTCTGTGCAAACTGAGATTCTTCATTTTGCGTTCAGTTTCAGCTGCAGTGAATTACAAAAACACAGTGTGTAAATAAGTCCCAACTGATGAACAGTTATAGCCAGGTCTTATATGGGACAGAGTTTCTAGGCAAGTGGAGACAAGAGATGGCATTTTTGCCACTGATGCCATCTGGCCATCTAAGCATGACTGCCTGCAATAAGGCATCCCTTGCAGTAGATGATTAGTTTTTGTTGTATTGGAGGTTTGCTCTGGCTTTTCATATCACCTGTGGCAAAGACTTAAAGGCACTTAGCCCTTGAAGTGACAGTATCTGAAGATGCCCAACCTATATTTTCCTGTCTATTTTTGCAATAATTGGTTGTATGGTTAGGAAAACATATGGTCCTTTAAGCAAGGTATTTACCTGGAATTTCCATATTTTTCACATGTAATATTCCCTGAGTGAGATAAAAATCTAGCAGAGAAGTATGGAATTTAAGTTGAAGGGTCAGTTTTTTAAAAGCCAAAAAGGATTGTAAAGCTTTTGGAAAGGGCTTGCTTTGCTGGCATTTCTCATGACACTCAGTTGATGTTTGCTCAGGAAGAACCCTTCAGGTACTCTGGTTTATTTGTTTTGGCTTTTTCTTACCGTCCTTGCAGTTGGATTATTTTGCAGCTCTTGGGGGTTTTAGGTTTTGGATTTGGTGAAGTGGATTTTGCATTATATTAACTCCTTTTTGTGTCACATCACTCCCTCAGGGGCAAAGGAAATCAGATGTTAGATTTCAGATCTTCATCTCTGACAGTATCAGCATTGCTAGGAAAAGAATTTGGGAATTTCTGCTGTAGAGTCTGAAAGTCTCTCTCACTATAAAATGAATGACTTAAATGAATACTTGATAAGGAAATTCAGAAATGCAGGAGATGGTGAGTAGTTATTATGCTCCAAGAACTGAGCTAACACATATATAATATGCACAAAAACCTTAGTAATAACACACAGAACTTTAATTTTAATTCTAAACATTTCTTAGTAATGAACACCATTTTCAGTTACACAATCATATGTTTTTTTCAATAAGATCTCTGCTTTACTGAATGGAGCTAAAGGAATGCATTATAGTCATTTGATGTTATTCAGCATTGAGTTTTCTC